TTTGGCACCTGACTACCCTACTCGGGAATAAGTTCTACTGAACCCTGTTGGATTTACTAAAGAACACCGAGAGGGAGAGAGGCGCAAGCAGATACATGCCTTGGCAAAGCTCTGTTTTACCTGTTCTACCTGGAATGACAGCTGGAAGTCAAGAGTGACCCTACAGAGCCATCTGCTGAAGGAAACTGATACTGCAACAATAGCTTAAAAACGCAGTGCCGATCCACCTCTTCCCTGGAAAAAAGATTTTTATTCATTCATTTAATTATTTGTTTGTTTGTTCATTCATTTCTAGTGCTGAAGAGGGAATGGCAGACCCTTCACTGCCTGTGGTACTTACACCTTTTCTTTCTTTCTTTGGTGCCCAGACGCTGGTTCTAGTTTTGAAGCAAGATTGTTTTTCTCCTGCTCTGGAAGGTAAGACCCAAACCAATGGATTCAAGTTACAAGAAAGGAGATTCTGCCTAAACACCAGGAAGAACTGTTAACAGTGGAACAGACTCCCTCAGAAGGCAGTGGGCTCTCCTTCATTGCAGGTGGTGTTGCTTTTTTGCCAGAGATTGGATGGCCATCTGTCGTGGATGCTGTAGGTGAGATTCCTGCATTGCAGAGGGTTGGGATAGATGACCCTCAGGGTCCCTTCAAACCCTACAACCCTTTGGGTTGTTATAACAGAACCCAAACAGTCTTACTATAAACTGGACTCTGGCAAGTTTGTTGGGGGAAAGTCCGTAACTTATAGGGAGTTGTTGTCTGGGTCTTAATCTGTGCTCAGGCCTACTGGGGCTTTGCACTGAAGACTGCTTTCAGTTTTGGGTTTTAGTCTTGGAGCATGTGTTCTTATTAATTCTTTCCACCTATATGTTGCTTTTCTGCCTAGTGTGGTGTAGTGGTTAAGAGTGGTAGACTTGTAATCTGGTGAACCAGGTTCGCTTCCCCGCTCCTCCACATGCAGCTGCTGGGTGACCTTGGGCTAGTCACACTTCTCTGAAGTCTCTCAGCCCCACTCAGTGTTTGTTGTGGGGGAGGAAGGGAAAGGAGAATGTTAGCCGCTTTGAGACTCCTTCGGGTAGTAATAAAGCGGGAAATCAAATCCAAACTCTTCTTCTTATTATTATTATTATTCTGGGCACCAAAGGTGCTTTACAATTTTAAAGTAGTAAGGTGAACGAAATAATATGCTCTTCTGAGAATGTAAAAAAAAAGGTAAAGGACCCCGGACGGTTAAGTCCAGTCAAAGGTGACTATGAGGTTGCGGCGCTCATCTTGTTTCAGGCCGAGGAAGCTGGCGTTTGTCCACAGACAGCTTTCCGGGTCATGTGGCCAGCATGACTAAACCCCTTCTGGCGCAACGGGAGACTGTGACAGAACCCAGAGTGCACGGAAATGCCATTTACCTTCCCGACGCAGCAGAACCTACTTATCTGGCGTGCTTCCAAACTGCTAGGTTGGCAGGAGCTGGGACAGAGCAAGGGGAGCTCACTCCGTCGCGGGGATTCGAACCGTTGACCTTCTGATCGTCAAGCCCAAGAGGCTCAGTGATTTAGACCACAGCGCCACCCACGTATGTATGGAGTTAATTTCACTCTAAAGTGAGCACAGTAAAGCCTCCAGGGTACACATGCAAATCAGAGGTTGGCTCATCAGGGCAGGGTATTGGTGGTTACAAAAACCACAATAAGTATACCTTCATCACGACCAGCAAAAATGTCAAAAACCTGTGAGCAAGCTTTCTGAGCTGTCCAGAATTCTTCAAACTAGATCAGGGGTCTGCAACCTTTAAGACAAAAAGCCACTTGGACCCGTTTCTGAAGGAAAAAACACTGGGAGCCGCAAAACTCGTCATTATAAAAATAACTTTTTTGTCACTTTTTTTTATTATTTCTTTGTTTGACCCCTCAGAATTACTCCTCCTCATAGAAATAAATGTTAAATTAACAAGTTACCTTTTTGTGTGTGTGTGTTCTTCACTCCCCTTCAAAACAGTGACCAGCGTACATGCCCCCTTTCAATGCAGTGACCAGCGTACATGCCCCTTACAATGTAGCAGGCGGGCGGGCGGGAAGGTGATGTCGGGACGGTGCGTGACTAACGCACGCACCGCCCCCATGCGACGTCACAGCCAGTACAGCGCCCGCCACAGTGGGGAGTGTCGGGGCGCACAATGCGCCTCCTCCCCTCGCTAGTATCTGCCCCGGAGCCGCGGCAAAGGTGTAAAAGAGCCACATGCGGCTCCGGAGCCGCGGGTTGCAGACCCCTGAACTAGATGATAATGGAACAAGTGGGGTCACAGGATAAAAAAGCTGGGAAAGAAGTCTGCAGCTTATTAAAATGATCAAATGCAAGAGGAGTTGTGCACAGGAATAAGGTTAGCCTCTGCAAAGCTCCAAACAAATTTCAGGTTGCGGCATAGATTGCTGGGTCGAAGGAACAGTAATGGCTACCCCTCTCATTTAAAAAATCTAAAAGTTACGGAGTGTGACTTCGAAGATGACCAGACCCATAATGTTTCATCTTGCTCTATTATTATTATTAAGAAAAAATTGTTAAGATCTCCAGACCTTAACCTTAGGGATTTCTCACTGAGAAGACTAGACAAGTTTGCCTTAAAAGCTGCCCAGGATCAGTCCTTCCCTGCAATGTGCTATTGTAGTGGGCTGCTTCATGAGGTCTAGTACGCTGAGGCAGCCACTCAGATAAACTTGAATACAGTTGGAGTTATCTCTGAGTGAATGTGCATAAGATTGTGTTTATCACACAGGCCCAGCAAGACTGGTCAACTTTGCCTACAAAGTGTGTGCCTTACAACACTCTCCTGGATCCAACACACAGCAATTCTGCAGCAGGAATGTTGAAGCAGAAAGGTTTTTTTTATACAAAAAAATATGTATTAAAAGTTGGAAAATATCTAAAAATAGAAAGTTGGAAAACCACTGTGCTATATTAACCTGTAAACAGATAGTTGTGGGATTCTAGTCTAGTCTGTTTCTGTACCCAGTTCCCAGTTAAGTTTTAAGCGATCCTGAATTTTAAGTACTGTATTAACTTCTACTCACACTTGTAATTCTTTTTATTATTTCCTCATATAAAAATGGGATGAAAATAACAGAGACAGCAGTGCAATCGTGTACATGTCTACTCAGAAGTAAGCCTCGTTGAGTTCAATGGTATTCACCCTCAGGTAAGTGTGTATAGGATAATATCAACTGCAAATTTATATGAGTGCAGTGTAGCTGAAAATAAACTTGGCTTAACTAAATTAAGACAATTAAGGAAAGTACATGACAGTTCTTTACAACAGTCTGTTTATGATCCCTAGATTTATGGCTTTGATTTTAACAGCATCCTCCCCGCCTCCTCTGTCTCCCATTGTGCAGTTAAACCTGTTTGCATATGGAATGTTAACTTTTAGCCCTTTCTCTTCCTAGTGTGTACTTTGTAGAGACACTTGTTCAGCCCCAGTTCACATTACTATTTGTTTAAGTAGGTGTGTTGTATTCTTGCATTATAGCATTTCCTGAAGTTGATTAGAACTGCCTTTTCCTCTGGTTGGAGTGATTCAGATCCACCCTTTCACTGCTCTTTTAACCTCACTGAATGGGCGGACAGGGCAGATAAAAGGTAAGCACTCCGTGCAAGAACAGGAGGCACCCAACTTGAATCCTGAGCTACATATGGGTTTAGTGAGAACTAAATGCGGCTGTTTTCAATGGGGCAGGGCATATTTCCTGGGAACTTGCAGTTTTCATAGGCCAACTATGCAGCCGTCCAGGGCGCAGACCTGAGGGGCACAGTACTGACTTTTGAGCGACACAGTTTATACAGATTTGTTTTGTTGTTTGATGAGATATAACTTTTATATTTTGAATAATTTTATCTTTTTTTGAAGTAATCAATGCATTAGAACTATTAGAACTTTTTTTGAAGTAATTAATGCATTAAAAAAGGTAAAGGGAACCCTAACCATTACGTCCAGTCGTGACCGACTCAGGGGTTGCGGCGCTCATCTCGCTTTATTGGCCAAGGGGGCCGGCGTTTGTCTACAGACAGCTTCCGGGTCATGTGGCCAGCATGACCAAGCCGCTTTTGGCGAACCAGAGCAGCACACGGAAACGCCGTTTACCTTCCCGCCAGAGCGGTCCCTATTTATCTACTTGCACATGACGTGCTTTCGAACTGCTAGGTTGGCATAGAACTATTTTAAAATGTATTTGTGAATTGTGAATCACAATTCACAAGGTTGTTCCAAACGATCTGTGTGCTGAAACGTTCCTCTTTTGTGTTTGTGAAAGATAATCAAACGTTTGTTGCGTTACTTACTCTTGCAATCTAAAATAAATGTTTGTTGCGTTACTTACTCTTGCAATCTAAAATAAATGTTTGTTGCGTTACTTACTCTTTCAATCTAAAATAAATCCAGCAGTTTCAAGTTTGGTGCTTTTCATTTTTTTTCTACAAGACACCTGTTTTTGAAAATTGGCAATTTTTGGGGGGGTGGTAGTGAGGGATGTAGGTAGCCTTGATTAGGGCGCAGAATAGTCTGGCAGCGGTATTACTTATGAATACAGGCACTGCCAGAAGATGAGCTTGGGATAACTCCGTTGGTATTATTGCATGAGCCTCTTAACCTCAGGCAGCCTTATTCTTATACGGGCAGGAGAGAGTTAAAGAGCAACTCGGCGACATCCCCGCCCCCTTGCCAACGCACAAGTACGTGCAGAAGGGAGGGGCGTGGGGGGAAAAACGGAACGTCACATAGCGCAGCTTTCTATTGGTTGAACGGAAACGACTCGCACGCTCACTCGTCCGCGTTGAACAGGCGACGCCGCGGCTTCTTTAAGAGACCCTACGCTCCCGCGACGCCTTTTTACGCCTCAAGGCGCGAGAGCGAGCGAGCGATTGGTCTTGGTCCGGGGGAGGGCGTGGTCTCTCCCGGACGCTTCCATTGGCCGGCGGGTGCGCGCGGGGGCGGGGTGGAGGGGGGGGGAGAGCGAGCTGGGCGAGACCATGTTGTGCGTGCGCACGGGGGGCGCGCCTCCGAAAAGGGTCGTTGGCGGCGCCGGCAGCAGCAGCGCCGGCCGGCCCAGTGAGCGGGGATGGCGCGCGGGCGCCCGTGGGCGGGTGAGTAGGAGAGCGGGCGGCGGGAAGGGCGCGCGCGGCGGAGGGGAGCCGGGCCCGGCGCCCTCCCCCCCCTCCTTCCCCTCAGCTCCCTTCGCGCCCTCCTTCCCTAGAGGGACCCATAGAGGGACCCATCCATGTGGCAGGAATGGGGGGGGGGCGGCGGAAAGGGCTGGAAGGTCTCAAGCGCCTCGTAGGTAGAGGGGCTCACCTCGCCCCCGCTGCCATAATTGGGGGGGGGAACCTTTGGGGAGAAGTGGGGGGGGGGCCTGGCTCCGCTTCTCCGCGCAGGGTGTGGAATGAAAAAAAGGAGGGAGGGGGAAACATGCCCCCTGAGCATGTGCCGAGCGCATGTCTCCTCAGAGCGCGCGCAGCAACGCTCGTGGGTGGGTGGCTGGGGGGGGGAGAGAGTATATGGTTTAAAAGTGTGTCAGCTGGAAAGCCATTTGCTTTTCGAAAGAATTGGGCCGGTTTTTTTGTTTTTCTTCTCAGGAACTGAGCAGGGAGGGCTTAAAAGACGCTTGTGCGCCAGAGAGGAAAGATTTGAATAAAACTAAACAACAGAAAAGTTAAGAGCATCTCTCGATAAAATGTTTAAACGGTGAAAAACTTAATAAACTGGGAACAGAAATTAAAGCGTCCACCTGCTCACGGAAATAATAATAATAATATATATAATAATAATAATAATACAGTGGTACCTCGGGTTACATACGCTTCAGGGTACAGACTCTGCTAACCCAGAAATAGTGCTTCAGGTTAAGAACTTTGCTTCAGGATGAGAACAAAAATCGTGCCACGGCAGCAGCGGGAGGCCCCATTAGCTAAAGTGGTTGCTTCAGGTTAAGAACGGACCTCCGGAACGAATTAAGTACTTAACCGGAGGTACCACTGTAATAATAATCACTTAAGGAATAATAACATAAATGTCACTTAAGCTTCTCAGGCATGTACCTCAGCTGACAAGGTCCTCTGGTTGCTGCGCACCTGCACCTGCTGAAGCAAATTTTAAATACATGGGCATAAGACATAGATGTGGGACATTTTTGAATGCTCACAAACCAGTTCTGAAAAGAGCTGTTCTAATTGGCAGAAGCTTTTTGGCACCAATATTTCTGGGTCAAGTGTAATGAGGTGTGATGTCTGTACATTACCGGAAGCAGCCTATTGTTAATTCCCTTTTCTAATCCCACAGAATTCCTGCCGCTCTGGAAGGGATGGCGTATATGTGCTAGGGAGCAAGATTAAATATTTTGGCATGAACGGCTGTAAAGCTGTGAGAATGCTACAGAGAAATGTTAGAAATCTTTGCACCATTGAAAGAGGAACGACTGATTTTGGGCCCACATATTTTCCAATAGAAAGAAACATTTCTGTCTACATATTCTCCTAATTGCAGTTCCAGTCATACACTCTGGCCTCCTTCAGTCACTGTTTTATACAGGGTTATCAAGAAGTACATGTCACGTAGAGAGTTCAGGTGTACAGAAGCACTGAAGACTGACTGAAAAGCCTATCCATTTCCATGCAGCAACATCTATTTTTATTCAATTTTTATTCTTCCCTCTTGGATTTCAGTCTCATCACATCCAGCATGCTTCCTCTTCCCCTGGCTTTAATGGCAGCATTTCCAGTGTGCCACCCCCCAAATGATTATGAGAGCATACAGTTTTGCTGTAATTTTAAAAGCAGTCTTTTTGTACGGAAAGCTTAGTGCAGATTATTTGAAATGAATGTGGATTTCCCCTCCTCTCTAAATTTTAGCATAGATCTCATCTATACAAGCCTTGTTCTTTTAGCAATTATTAATATTAGATCCTTCAGTAGCTTGTCTGGAAATTAGATAGGTTTAGAAATAAGAGAGCAGTGCTAGGTAGCATCCCCACGCCCCCCTTTTGTATTGTATTCATTCATTCTTTTGGAAGAGTTACTTTTGTTCATGGTTGCTGAACCATGGGAGAGAGAATTTTATCTCTTCCTAAACTTAGGAGGGGACGCGGGTGGCGCTGTGGGTAAAAGCCTCAGCGCCTAGGGCTTGCAGATCGTCAGGTCGGCGGTTCGAATCCCCGCGGCGGGGTGCGCTCCTGCTGCTCGGTCCCAGCGCCTGCCAACCTAGCAGTTCGAAAGCACCCCCGGGTGCAAGTAGATAAATAGGGACCGCTTACTAGCGGGAAGGTAAACGGCGTTCCGTGTGCTGCGCTGGCTCGCCAGATGCAGCTTGTCACGCTGGCCACGTGACCCGGAAGTGTCTTCGGACAGCGCTGGCCCCCGGCCTCTTGAGTGAGATGGGCGCACAACCCTAGAGTCTGTCAAGATTGGCCCGTATGGGCAGGGGTACCTTTACCTTTACCTAAACTTAGGAGACTGGGCTATGCTGTTGCAGCCATTTCCCCTGTATGGGAAGATGGCATATCTTGCATTCCCATCCTGGTGAGTGGTAAAAGTCTGCACGGTTTGAATCTCTTTAATGTGTATGAGATTAACTGAGAAGAACCTGCCCAAAACTGAATATGGTTTTATTTAAAAGGGGGGATTTTAGTTGAAAGATGCCACAGAACCAATTCATTATAAAATGCCCTTGGGAGCCCTACAAAAAAAATGTGGTGCTTGTACAGTGGTATTCAACTTGAAAAGGTCTAGCAATTTTCCTTTTCCTGTTTCGAACAAGAGACCCTTGTTTCCCATTCCTGTACCTCTTAGTTGTCCTTTGCATCTTATTTTGCCCTCAGACATTGGTAGTTTAAATGTAATTATCTAACCTTATCAGCTGCCTGTGGTCTGAAGTGTAAGAAATAAGCAAGGTGGTGCTCTAAGGAGTTTACAATCTGAATTTTGCCATTAGTTGCGGTGGGGAGGGAAGAGACTCTGAGGGAACGGTGAGTACAATGTGGTTTAGTTTACTATGAGTCAATAGAGGTTGAAGACTTTGAAATAGAAAACTCTACTAACTGGGTGAATTAGGCTGGTAAAAGATGGCACAATCATATTCCTGCACAGCAGTTGACTGCCAGCTCTTGTCTGCAATGTCTACAAAGATGTTTTGTAGGAAAGCCGTGTAGCCTGTTCTTACATCGACAAACTGTGCAATGTTTCTTCTCAAGGTTCATTTTGGAATGACTAATGTCACCACCTCCCTTGGTCTTTGGACACGTTGCATATAATTCCTGAAACTGCTGTGTTTGCTCATAGATGCACAAACGTTTTTTCATCTGACTGGCTTAGTTTTCAAATTAAGTGTTAATAAGAAGTAGGAGTAACCGTCAGTCTGTATAATGACAAGTGGAAGTGTATCTTTGCTTAGTAATAACACTGAGCTGAAAATATCTGTTCAGCTTTGTTCATTTGGGCTTTCAAGCTTATGGGTGAGCTCTGGGACAGCACAGCTGCTTAGATCTTTATTCTTATTTCAATGCAGCAGCCCTTCAGAGATTTCTCTCCAGCTTCCTGTGAACAGTGTTTTGTGTCCAGAACTTGGTGAAAAATAGAGACAGCCCTGATATTCACACGATTTACTCCAATGTTGAGCAAAACATATCCTGTCTAATGTACAAATTTCAATCTGAAAACTTAAGTTGCTTTTTGTGTGGAAGAGCTCCATTAAACTATGAACAGCTTTGTGGGTTGATGGTGGGTTTTTTTAGTACCCCAAAAGTAAAATGCTTGTTCAGTAGTTTAAAAGTTCTTTCTCTACAGCTCTCCCAGAGGAGGAGCCTTTGGAGCCAAATAATCTCTCTTGTGTCCTCAAGTCTTTCCTGTTTGCTTTAGTGGCTAAAAGACATTCCCTTGTGTTGTTTGGGAAAGCCTTAATGTCCTAGGGATCTTTGACAGTGGGCTGGGTAGTATTTCCATAGTTCAGAAACATCCCACACCTTCTTGGTTGGGCAGAATGTCCTGGGGATCTAGGCAGATAAGATCATAGCTTGGATTGTTCAACAAAGTAAAATAGTAATCTTTCACCAGTCTTCCCTAAGTAAATTGGATATCTTGTTTTCACTCATTTAGAATGCTACATACTTTTCTATTTGCTCCATCCCAAAATGACGGGGAGATTAATTTTCCTCACACTTTCACATCACCGTTAGTAGTTTCTGAATTCTAAAAATCAACAGAAGAATTCATGTGTCATTCAGTTCTCCATGTTGCATAGCAAGTAGTGTTCTGGCAAGTTGTTACCTGAAAATCTGAAGAAATCAACCTTTTAGTAGATGCTGGATTTAAAAACTGTCTGTTTCTGTTGATGTACACAGGGCAAGTACTAGAAATCAGCAGCACATGTTCTGCAGGTATAGGAGATCATGTCTAAGGATGTGAAATTCAACTTTCTTTAATAACTCACAGGTGTACCAGAAGCTGCAATGGCAACATTTGGTCAACTGAAGCAAAGATGGTACTTGTACACTGCCTCGCGACTTGCTTTGTGAGAGACTTCCTGTAGCCTTTGGAAGAACGCATCAGGAGAGGACTGCTTGTCATCATGAAGTTGAAACAACGGGTGGTGCTTCTGGCAATCCTCCTTGTCATCTTTATTTTTGCCAAGGTTTTCCTCATAGACAACCTGGACACTTCAGCAGCTAACCGTGAGGACCAGCGTGCCTTTCACCGTATGATGGCGAGCCTACGGGTGGAGCTGGACCCACGACTTGACCACACTCTGCAGTCTCCCTGGGAGATTGCCGCCCAGTGGGTGGTGCCACGGGAAGTCTACCCAGAGGAGACGCCAGAACTGGGGGCAGTGATGCATGCTATGGCTACGAAAAAGATCATCAAAGCAGACGTGGGCTATAAGGGAACCCAGCTGAAGGCTTTGCTCATACTGGAAGGTGGGCAGAAAGTGGTCTTCAAACCCAAGAGGTAAAAAGGCCATACAGTGACTGGATGAAATATATTGAGTGTTCCCCTTGCCCCAACTCCATGACTTGCTTCGGGGTTTCCCAAATAGGGAGTACTGGTTATCATTCCCCAATGGATGGATAAAGACAGATCAGGGAAATGGATAGCTAATAATAATAATAATAATAATAATAATAATAATAATAATAATAATTTATTATTTATACCCCGCCCATCTGGCTGGGCTTCCCCAGCCACTCTGGGCGGCTTCCAAAAAAAATATTGAAATACTGTAATACATCAAACATTAAAAGCTTCGCTAAACAGGGCTGCCTTCAGATGTCTTCTAAAAGCCTGGTAGTTGTTGTTCTCTTTGACATCTGGTGGGAGGGCGTTCCACAGGGCGGGCGCCACTACCAAGAAGGCCCTCTGCCTGGTTCCCTGTAACTTGGCTTCTCGCAGTGAGGGAACCGCCAGAAGGCCCTCGGTGCTGGACCTTATCAAACTTTTCACCACATTGCACATGTATGGGAAAAGTGGGATTTGAGGTGACCATGCTAGTGTCACCTTTCCTTTTCCAGCCTCTGATTGGCTATGCTCGATATTCTTCCAGTGTTATGGAGCTATAAGAAGAAGCTGCAAGGAAGTGCCTAGCCTATTGCCTGAGAGAATCAGCTCTTGTCTTCCTGGCCTGGGATGTGGACCATACAGCAAGTCCACTGTCAATCAGTAACAGCTCTAGTTAAAAGCTTCCTTGCATGTGTGGCCATGTGATCAGCTGCAAGGGAACATGTCTCAAGTAATGTGCCATCTTGATTCAGAAACTCAATCTGCTTGGATTTTGCTTCTGTAGCTTAAAGGGAAAATCTAGCATTATGACCCAGATTGTCTGCCTGCTTGCAATTTTTAGATATGCCAGAGACTATGTGGTAGAAGGAGAGCCGTATGCTGGGTACGACAGACACAACGCAGAGGTGGCAGCCTTTCACCTGGACAGGTATATAAATGTTGATTTAGAATTCACTCTTCTTGGAAATGGATAATAAACATATAAACACCTTCTTTAAGCTCTGAATAGAAATTTTGTTTTTAATTGAAAAATTGTGAGGAAATAATGACTTCCTGTTCTGTACCTAATTCAGTTATATCGTCATATGAGTGCAACAGGCCGTCATGGTTTTCTTAAGTAATTACATTTCTAATGTGAGGTTTTTGACCAAACTGCGGGAGGCAGTGGAAGACAGGAGTGCCTGGCGTGCTCTGGTCCATGGGGTCACGAAGAGTCGGACACGACTAAGCAACAACAACAATGTGAGGTTCAAACTGTTTCTCTGAGTAGGGCCAAATTGCTTCAAATGAGGCAGGCCTGTGGAAAGTAAACATTGCTTCCAGGTGACTCAGGCATGGAAACTGAAGGTTGAGATGACTAATGTAGGTATATTCAAGCAAGCAGGTGGTTTTGTGTGTGTGTTCCTTTAAAGTAGACTGGTAACGTTTGTAGACTTGCTTGTAAAGCTGCACTGAAGCAGTAAAATTGCAGAGCATGTTCTGAGGGCACATGGTGCAGCCATTTCTCTGAAGTGAAGCACAGCTGATCAGTGCCTGAATGATACCACTTGGGAACCTTAAATATGCCAGCTTGACTCCGTTGGATGAAGGGTGGGATACAAATGTACTAAACAAACCTTTGTGGAGGAAAAGTATTTTTTTCTGAAGAAAGATCCCTCCCCCCTCTCACATTTTTTGTCTAGTCCTTCTCATAAATGTCAAATGAATCCAAGCATTATTTACTTGAGGACTTTATTTAAAGCAGTATTTGGGGGCAGAACACCGTGTACAGCCACTTCAGGCCCGGTCCCAACAGCTAAACAATTTGTTTTGAAGCTCAAACCATTTTTACAGCCTAAGAGCAAATCCACTATTGTTCTGCTCTAACCCTGCTTTTCGTACTGAGCACCACCCACCTGTGAAGTGTGGATGGTGACCCTGTGTATGCAATTTTGGAAGTTTCAATGCAGCTGAGACATTATCTTGAAATTGTCAGCCTCTTTTGTAAAGTTTTTTTTAATTTTTGGAATTTTCTTCCTTAGATATTTGAGAGGCGACTGAATTGTTCCATATTGTCTCACTTCCTTCTTACTTTTCTTCTCCAAACAGAATCTTAGGTTTCCGACGAGCCCCTCTAGTGGTTGGTAGGTTTGTGAATCTCCGCACAGAGATCAAACCTGTTGCCACAGAACAACTGCTAAGTACGTTCTTGACATTAGGTAGGTGACAAAGTATATTTCATGAAGACCTCTAAAATAAAATTGAAAAAAAACCCAGGAAGGGGCTTGTGGAAGTTAATTGCTTTTGGGAAAGCCGGCCTAATGTTCTGCAAGCCCCTTAGGCTCAGTCAGATACAGTATTCCTGATTTCTTGTGCTTAGGAGATTGTGAGTGTGTAGCAGGTTTGTGGGTTTCCTTCCCCTCATATATACAAATTCTTCCCCTTCCAGTGTGCATTGATATTAATACTATGATAATGTATTAAAGTTACCTCTGGTTGTAAATTCTGGTTTGACACCAACACTATGATTACTATGAACATGGGTAGAATCTAATACTGCACCTAAGTTGGTGCTAAAAAGAGAATGGAGCAAGGAACATGGCAGCCTACAGCACACTCCTGGTCTCCTAGCCACAGGGGATTGTAAACAGCTTTTTCTGGACTTAATTCACAGATGGTTCAATGTGAAGGATTCTTATCTGAGAGAATATTCTGTTGAGAAGCAGTCTTTGCCATTTCACTTCTTTCTCTGTTAATTGGGTTAGTAGTGTTCAATGGTAACGTCAACAGATAATTTAGAAGCAGCAATTCATTCTAAAAAAAAACCCCTCATTTTAAAAGCAATGAAACTGCTATAACAAGTATCAGGAGGGGTGTCGCACAATTTGAGATCCCTGGCTTTGTTTATGGAAATATGTCAGAAAAATACATGTGCATACTTCAAAGAAAGTATCTGCTTTTTCATTCATTCAGTTAAACATGAGTGGAAAGATGGCTTGCTGTTTGCCTGAAGCCTTTTTTCAGCACATTGGGGTGAGGGAGGAGAGAGAAGCGGAGTTTTCTCTTGAGCAAATGAAATGGGTTAATTTTAAAACTTAAAAGATTTAGGTATCTCCTAAAAAGCTTCTGAAACATCTATAAACATTTTAATACTACTATATCAACTTGAGAAGAGATGGGATTTTGCTTCTGATTTCTTCTAAGGAAATAATACTTGCTTCTATGGAAAGTGCTACTATTGCCGGGAAACAGAGCCAGCCTGTGCTGAAGGGGACACCATGGAGGGGTCAGTCACGCTATGGCTGCCAGACGTTTGGCCGCTTCAGAAGCATCGACACCCATGGGGCAGAACATACAGGGAAGGCAAGCTGGCCAGGTATAGATACTGTATACTGTTTTTTTCTTTGCCATGTCTGTTGGTCAGTCCAGGGAATGGGCAATATTTGTAGATGGAAAGGAGGGTATCAGCCAGTTTTCCTGAAACTCTGTTACAGCCAAGGCCCTCAAGAATGGTATATTTTGTATATGGATTATATTGTTAAAGCCCCTAAAGTTATCTGGTGGAGAAAGGATTCTGAGAATGTTGTGCAGTGGACGAAGGGTGCTGGAAGTATGGATGTGAAGGATTTTAAGAGATGATGGGAAGAAACAATCCATTTTCTTCTCTTTGTTTTCTTTCCCAAAGAATAAGTAGAGTTTAAGTTCTTATAACTTAAATTAACTGGGTAGCAGTAGTCTGTGTATATGTGTACAATCTAATGTTTTGAGACCTGTTTTGTTTTGCAACAGTTAGGCTCATTTCTGCATGTGAAGTAAACTGTGTTTACAAGAGCACATTTTGTTGTTCCCTACTAGGCAAAGACAAATCAGCCTTTCCATGTTTGTACATTTTCATACATAATTCTGTTCCTTCCCATATCAGCATTAATCTCTGGTAATTCCTAATTTGCATTTGAACATGTGTTTCTTAACATATTTTCTCTCAAAATAATGCATTTCTAAACCTATTTTACCAAAATACAGTTTAAAATACGTTGGGAAATTCAGGAAGTGTGAAAGATGGTGGTTATCCAACTTCCACTTTAGCCTGAAATATGTAACTCAGGTCAGTGTGCATCAGAATTTGCAAAGCTTGAATTTGTCAAGCATCCCTATTCCACATCCCTTTCTCAAACTCCTCTTTTGACTATGATTGGTTTTGTTCATCTTTCATGATTACATCAGTCCTTTAATTTGGATTCCTGAGACTCTTGTTTCCATTAAAAATAAATAAACACTTCTGCCTGCCCCTTGTGCTTGGGTTATGGCTGAAAACCATATTGACAGCATCTGCAGTTCACTGTAACGTTACAGATTTCAGGTTCTCCTTTGTGAACCCACTAATGTTCTCTCACTTTCCTTACTGTTTCTCCTCAAATATTATTGCACCTTGCAGAAACAACCAAATATTGGTATGCACTAAGCCTTGGGCAAAATAAGGCAATTTGTCCTCTTTTTGTGGATTTGCCTTGAATTATTAAATGAGAACAGAATTGTCAGAGGGGAAGGTGGATGGAATTAAGATCCTAGGTTAAAAGAGGAGATACAGTAAGAACCCGTGAGGAAAAGGCAAGCTGGTAATTAAAGGCAATTTTCTCACACACCATAGTGGGAGAATATTGGCTTGAAAGCTAACTGGACATTCACCAGGTAGGCACTGAGCCAGTTTGGCTAGCTCATCAGTTATATCAGACTCTATTTTTCAGATTATGGAAGTCTCTCTTCAATGCCGCTGACAATGCATGGTTATATTTTAAATGAATCATAAAGCTTTCTCCATGTCTACTTGCAGGTGGGAATATGATGAGAGCTACTGTGATGCTGTAAAGAAGACCTCACCCTACGACTCAGGCCCACGGCCTCCTTGATATCATAGATACAGCCATCCTTCGAATTATTTTGATTGGGAATTGCTGATCGACACCATTATGAAAGCTTTCAGGATGATGAAGGGGCCAGTATGCTAAGTTCTACTTGATAATGCCAAAAGGTGGGAAATGTGTCAACATCTGTGAAAATTTCTCCAAGCTAAATGACAGTCATAAGCCCACATTATTACTGTGGGCTCTCCCTAATGCAGCTTTGTCCAGCCTAGTTCCCTCCCAGAGGTTAGGGGCCACATCTCCTCACTTTCCCTGACCATTAGCTATGCTGGCTGAGGCTGTTGGGAATCGAAAATATATGGAGGGCAACAGGTTGGGCAAGGCTACCCTCATGCTTTTAAGATAGGGGGACCAAAAGTGAAATTTTGTAAGCCTGCTATTGCTAAAGCATCGGATTCCCTTTCGTTTGTGGGTTAATTGAAATGTCAGGGACTGCTGAAGTCCTTAACTCTGTGGTGTGGAGTAAGGGTAGAATTTCCAGCAACTTCACTGGATTTGTATCCATTTGTTTTTCAGCTTTGGGAACCCTGTCTTGGATGAGAGAAGCATTTTAGCACCTCTTTATCAATGCTGCATGTAAGTAAAGGACAAATAAGTTATTGATCTTTTGTACTGTATGCACCTTGCAATGCCCACCCCAAACATCCTGGGAGTGTGCAAATCTGACAATCCAGTGCTGCCTCAGTGCATTAAGAGAATGGTTAGGATCATGAATAAAAAATGCACATGCTTTGGCAGTGTCTTGATGATCTGCAACTTTTGTTTGAGACTGAGATGCTGGCTGCACATTAAACTTGTCACATCAAAAGAAGCTGTTCCTCTGAACCCCTAGCATCAACGAGCTGCTAACGGAGAGATAAGACAGGATGGAGCAGCTCTATGATCTCCCTCCAGCTTTTTCTTCCTGTCACTGAGGGAGTCTTCAGAATTGTTTGCAGTCAGAGCCTGGCTTACATGTAGCTGCTTTTCATGTGACAAGAGTCACATGTTGTCAAGCTCTGTGGTTCCATCTGAGCCATCCGCAGTACATGTAACTTAAGCTTTTGATGAGAGAAGTGAAGAAGTAACTGCAGGGAGGAAAGAAAGGCAAGAAGTGCGGTAATTAGTAGGCTGAGTGGGCTCAAAGCTTAGGAACTTTAAACAGGCGTGTCTGAGGTTTTTTGGCCGTGGGGGAAATCAATTTCTGAGAAGTGCTTTAGTATGCAATATCATTATCATTATTTTATTTGTATTCTGCCTTTCCAGAGTGAAAACTATTGGCAGCTCACAACATAAAAAGATTTACATAATTTGAAGCCAAAGTAGTAAAAAGCAATAAATAAAACGTGCCCAAAAAGTGCACAACCAAATTGAACAATTTTCACAAAAATATTAAGGTGTAAAAATAAAGATACAGAAAAATTGTATTCACAATAGCAACAAAGCCCTCTAAACAATACCCTAACCCAAGAGTGCACACATGATTCCTAGCTTGCTTTTATTTTTATTTTATTTTATTTTTACATAGCCTCCAGTCTGAGCCGCAGCAGGAGAGGCCTGCAGTCTTTTGTACTTGCAGCTTTAATTTACCACCTCCTTCATGCTCTACACCACTCCTTACTAAATGTCCACATTATGCAATTATGAAATTCAGAATAAAGCTTTCAAATTGAACAACTTTATATAAAATAAATATTTATGTAGATTATTTGCACAATTCATTTTCTGCGTAGGTCTTCTGTATTTATTGCATTGGTATTTTGCCTTTAAGGGACGCAGGTGGTGCTGTGGGTTAAACCACAGAGCCTAGGACTTGCCGATCAGAAGGTCGGCTGTTTGAATCCCCGCAACGGGGTGAGCTCCCATTGCTCTGTCCCTGCTCCTGCCAACCTAGCAGTTTGAAAGCACATCAAAGTGCAAGTAGATAAATAGGTACGGCTCCGGCGGGAAGGTAAACGCCGTTTCTGTGCGCTGCTCTGGTTCGCCAGAAGCAACTTGGTCATGCTGGCCACATGACCTGTACACCGGCTCCCTCGGCCAGTAAAGCGAGATGAGCACCACAACCCCAGAGTTGGCCACGACTGGACATAACGGTCAGGGGTCCCTTTACCCCCTTTACCTTTATTTTGCCTTTTCTCCAAGGAGGATTTTATCTTCTTGTTCCTATGAGGTTAGGCGGAAAAATAGTGACTGGTCCAAGATCATTCAGTAAGCTTCATGGCTGAACCCAAATTTCCCCATTCCTACCGCCCCCCCCCCTACACACTACTTTGTTCGGAGTGTTTTATGCAAAATATGAGCAGCTGTGCTTATAGTTCTGTGTTATCATCTTGTGATATACGTGTGTAGACAGGCCCAAGTAGACTGTGTCCCTCATCCTGAAGTCTGCAATCAAAACTTAGGTTTGCCATACATTCTCTCATTTCTTTTGCAGTATTCGAGTCTCCACATGGAACAGACTGAACTACCTGAAGAATGGGGTGCTGAAGTCTGCCTTAAAAACTGCCATGTCTCATGATCCTATCTCACCAGTTCTGTCTTCCCCTCATATGGATGCCCTGGACCAGCGACTCCTGAATATCTTGGCTACAGTAAAGCAATGTACAGACCAGTTTGGACCAGACATTGTACTGGTAGAAGATAGGATGACACTTTCCCATTTGTAGCTTCAACGGGTGTTGGAGCAGATTTTCTCTCCCTATTTTTAAGAAAACAATACGAAAACAGCACAATTGGTTTTGTGTGGCTGTGGGCAGGATGGGCTGGAACTGAAATGCCAGACTTCCTGAACTGAAGGAGAAAGCAGCGGCATGATGGTTTTGCTGAAGACAAGGAACTTGCCTTCAGGTAGCCCCACATCATGTTTTGGATGTCCATTGCTGGCAGTGGATGTTACACTGAGAGCACTCCTAGATTTCTTAAATAAGAAATTGGAAGTAGGCATTAAGACAGACTGATTCCAGAGAAGAGCCACAGTCCCCTCACCTAATCCAAATATGGTTTCAAGATTATAGCCCATTTCATAGTTGTAAAGAATGGGCGGCCTGTGCTTCCTTGCTGGCTACCTAAAAAGAGAGCATGAAGACAAGATCAGTTGTTGAAGGGATCCCTTATTGCTTCTTCTGACCCTCATGTATCTCACACATTTTTGGCTGGAATTTTCTCAAGAGCTCCATGAAGGATTGTGTTATTGTTAGCAGCATTAAGCAAAATCCTTTAATTCCAAAATGCTAAGAAGAGAGACTATTTTAGATTGCTAATTCAAATCTATACTCCACCCACAAGGCTGAAAGGATTCAGGACTGCATGATGCTGCAAAGACTCAACCAGCCATGAAGATCTAAGATTATTGTGCAAACCATTGTTTTGTTACCACACAAGGATTCTTGCCAGTATTCTACTGATATGGAATAAGCCTTGTGGTTTTTTAAAAGGAGCAGATACAATTGAACCAAATAATTATTCTAAAAAGTAGGAATGATTGCGATTCATTGTGTTCTCTCTGTATTGACACCCACCCCTTCATGAGACGAGACCAATGGGGTTTGTTGCTAAAGTTTGCAGTTAATTTAAAATACTCTGGATACCACCAGAGACTGAGCAATGGAATATTTTCTGACTAGTGTGTCACTGCTTTTGTAAGTGGTTGCAGGTTCTGTGCCAGACGGTATACTTAACAGTATCCTGTCATTTTTCAGGGCTGAGCTGAACTTAAAAGCATTTCCAGTAGGCCTTTTCCAATTGGCAGAAAGCTGCTTCTTCTGAACTATCTACTGGCTTTTTGACCATTAGCCTGGAATTGTACAGTGCTTCAGGAAATTTTAGGTGACTTTTTGAATGATAAGCCCGATTTTTCTGGAAATGATACCCATCCACCATATCGGAGAGTAATTTGTAGAAGTTTATCCCATGTGTCAGCTTTGACATGTAGCATTCTTATGCATTATTCAGCAGACTTTATAAGAGACTTTATCAGATTAAATTTCCTGGATTGGATGCCATGTGAAACTAATTTAAAGGCAAGGTCTGACTTTTTCAGTTAGCCTTAGTTTTTTTTTTTTTTGGCAAAAGCTTCAACTTCCTGCTTCCAGAGTAACAAATGGCAGGGGGGTGCATTTTTTTTCTTCTAAAGTATTTTAAATCTTTCGTTGGTCCGTGTCAGTAACTGTCTGAAGGCAGTTGCCTAAACTGCAACCTGGCCTAAAGAGCAGTGGCAATCCCTATCTGTTGCAAGCTATCTACTTCAACAAAGAGAACATTGACAAATACAATGGTTTCTGTCAAGCTGGCTCAGCTAATCATCTGAGTTTCTACAGGTGATGTCGATTTCTACCATGAGGGTCACTGGCTACAAAAATCTTTTTGAAACATGGCATGAAGGTGTGATCAGGTCAGGTACTAAGGTTAAATTCCCTGGACACTTCCAACATCAGCTGTTGCAATTATGTTGTGTGCAGGGGGAAAAATGGAGTAGTACAATTAGTGAAGGTAACCTCTTGCAGCTTGGATGTCTCCGTATTTATCTTTACACAAGCAGCAGCATACCAGTATGAAATTAAACAACTTTTCAAGCTGATGAAGACTCATTTCTGTGCAACCAGTAAGAGAGACAGAATTAGCTTTGAAGCAGCAAAATATCTGAAGGAAGTACTATAGTCCTCTCTATCTTTGCCTGATTCGGCAAGTGGTGTAGAAGAAACCACACATTTGTATTTTGGGATCTGATGAACTGGAAGTGTCACTTAAGTGGAAAAAAAAGAAAACTAATTTATTAAGAAGTTAACTTATTTATGTAGCAGCTGGAGCACACCTCTTGGACCTGCCAGAAGGTTGCCTTTGGGAGTGCCTGCAAATGGAAACTATTGGAAGAAAAGAACTCAATATAATCTTGATTCTGTTATGTGTTTTCCCAGGTTCAGACTGCATAAATAAGTATTATGTGAATAAATTTTTTAATAAAACTCTGGGTTGGGGTTTTTTGCTTCTCACACCATGCTAGTTTCAATGGCAACTTACATAGCTCTTTTCAGATAGGAGTTGCCAACATAGGATAGCGTGCAGTCTTAATGTGCTCCTTCGGATGCTGCCTTTTAGTGGTGCAGGAGGTATGGCAATGTGACTCCTTCACACACTAGTATTGATCCAATTTCTGCCAGGAGTGACAGAGGCGCTCTGTAGCTTGAATTAGAAACTGCGGTTTCTGTGGTCAGGATCTACCTTAAAGAGCTAAGGGTGTGCCAAGAGCCACTTTTAGATGTAGAAAAGACGGTGTGCAACATCAGCACCTACAGGCCTAGTGTAAGAACTAGAAGTTTTTACTTCTGCCTTTCTATTGCCATAGCACTCCTTAGGCTTCCTGTATTTTAGGCTTCAATTACCATCTAAACTACTGCCTCCAGAGACTCAGAGCTGGTGATGGAGTTCCAGTGTTATCAAGTAATACAAGAAGGTCTCATTCTTCAGTCGCTTTCATGTTACCTTGTATTGTTGGACGGATTCATCAGTTCACGAATTATGTTCGGAGAACTGTCCAACAGTGGCCTGGCTAGAAACTAAATGAAATATGACAACCAGAAAAAGGGGCATATCTCTTGGTCATGACTCCCTATGACCATGCAAATGACAGAATATAATTTTGCAGTCTTGCAAAGTCTGCCTTGTGATGCATTCCCCATGCAGACTTTGGCCTGAACTAGGTCTCCATTAGTTGATGATGAGGGTAGAAAGAGTTGTGCTTATATTGCATTTTCTGAAAATGAGTAGAATCAAATGACTGCTAATAGGGAGACATGGTAGGTATAGGAAGCTGTCTCAAAAAGTAATTATTGACTTGTCAATAGGCCATATCCTGCTGCAGAGGCAATGCCTGATAGTTTTTTAAAAAAAGTTTACTGTCAGTATAGACTTCTTCCTTGTTGGCTTTAACTGAGGTTAGTTAAATGCTTTTTTCTGAGTCTTTAGGGTACTTTAGGCTGTAGTCCTATATGCATTTACTTGAGAGTAAGTCCAGTTAAACTCAGTGGGACTTACTTTTGAGTAGACATGTATGGGATTGCATTGCCAATGCAATTTTGTGTTTATGCGGGCTGACAGGATAAAATATATGGAGAGTCATCATTGCCTGGAGAGATTTCATACGCATCAAATCTTATGAGCTTAGTTTATGGCTTAGCCGGTGTATGGTTCCAGGGGCTTGTATCCATATTTTGCTGAGATAGCCTCCTGCACTATGTGCACAATATTAACAAATAAAAACTCATATTTGTTGTAAGTTGTTTTACTGTCTCTTGACAAGTGCACAATAGCCATGTGTGGATCTGCCACCACACTTTTATCAACTCTCCCATGCACACAGATCCCCCCTATTTCCATGTATTAGTCTCTCCCCTGTTGTGCAGCCCCCTTTGCACACACACTCCAAGCTGATCTATGTTATCGTATCGTTAAGATAGGTAGAATCTGAAGAGCGAGTATGTTAGCGAAAATTAAATTCAGTTGATGGATGTTGTACATATATGGGTGTTTGCTTGTTAATAAAATGCCTCTTCTAAATTACTGCATTGAATCTGGGGCTTCATGTTGAAGATATCACATTATACCAGGAGTTAAATACATGATTGTAGGAAGATACTATGGAATATTTGAGGACTTTGCATCCTTCATCTCTCTCACATAAGGCAGCTGAGGAATGGAAGAGAGAGAAGTTTAAAAACAGCTTCCCCACCCTTTTCAGTGCCTCTCCTTTCTCGCTGTACTCCAACAATGGCAGAGATTTAAGTAGAGCAGGGATGGTGTGACACTGAGTATTTTTGAATTATAAAAACCCAGTTTTCACAAGGAGAAATAACACAATGAGTACAACACAAAAAGCTGACACTGAAGTCTTTCCGAATGCCATTCTCACTGTCCTGAAATACTGTTTTAAACAGCCCCTCCTGTGTGTTCCCTTGCTTACTCATGCCTCTGCCATCGTCTGAAAACACCATTTTCCTCTCAGCATCTCTAAATCCCTGCTTTATTTAGACCTCTGCCACTCAAAACAACCACTTTTTCCTTTTCAGTTTTCCTTCCTTTGCAACTTTCGATTCCTCAGCTGCCTCGTGAGAAAGAAAGCATGTGGAGCCCACAAATATTTCGTAAAGGTAAAGGGACCCCTGACCATTAGGTCCAGTCGTGGCCGACTGGGGTTGAAGTGCTCCTCTCGCTGTATTGGCCGAGGGAGCCTGTGTACAGCATGACTAAGCCGCTTCTGGCGAACCAGAGCAGAACACGGAAACGCCGTTTACCTTCCCGCTGGAGCGGTACCTATTTATCTATTTGCACGTTGACTTTCGAACTGCTAGGTTGGCAGGAGCAGGGACCGAGCAACGGGAGCTCACCCCATCGCGGGGATTTGAACCGCCAACCAGTCCTTTTCTAAAACCTCTGCCATTGTTTAAAGCTGCCACTTCCCTCAGTTTCCTCCATCCCTGCTTTATTGAAACTTCTGCCATTGTTTTAATAGCACTTCCCCACCACCTCTCATTTGTTGGAAATATATCTCAGCCTTTCACTAGTTTCCAGAAGATCTAGTTTGTACTGTCATTACACAATGCAGCAGTGCATTTTCCTCTCCAAATACTCATGGCTATTTTGAATACCTGGAATTTAGTTGGTATAGCAGGTCTCTGCCTCCTACAGTTTCATAAGGCCACAGTGATACCATTTGCCTTGAATTGAAGCCTTGAACAAGTCCCAACCCATTCCCAAGGTAACTCTACAGTATATTTTTGAAATGTCCTGTTGTTTTCATCAAGTCACAACCCTATTCAGCACCAGATCAATTAAGCTTTCAGTCAGCCCTTCTATATCCTACTCTGAAGTTGCGAAATTGGCATATCACCCATGATTTCATTGTGGAAGGGCTGTAAATCAGTGGTATTATGATTTTATTAATTAAATTTGTCATTCACTATCTTGCCCAAAGCAATTTACAACCAGGCAAACAGACGATAAGCCCCACATAGATGCACTGCAGTAGAGCATCTGTTTTGCATGCAGAAGATCCCAGATCCAATTCCCAGCATCCCTGGATAGGGCTAGGAGATCCTGGCCTGAAACCCCAAAGAGTCGCTGCCAGGGACTTTTTTCATCCTGAGGGCCATATTTCCTAGTAGATAAGCTTCCAGGAGTTACATGCCAAGGGTGGGGTAACATGCAACTCTATAGCCCTGTCACACACAAGTAAAAGTTTTCTACACACACATTCAGCAAGGGCACCTTCCATCTAGACAAAAAGTGTGAGCCAGTGACGGTGTGGTTTGGGGAGGTGTCACCTGGGAAGAGATCAGCAGGCCAGGCAGAGACTTGGGAGGACTACAGGTTCCCCACCACTGATAGACCACTGTTCATCAAGGGGTTTGGACCTGGGTGCTATCATTACATCAATCACATTCTATGTTTCTAACACTGGAATGAGGCGAGTCCATTTAGGCTCCACTGGTGCCTGCATGCTGCAGTGAGCTGAGGTCTGAGAGACTGAATCCAAACAAGACTTCAGCCTTGGTCCAGTATTTCTGAAGGAGCGTCTCCACCCCCATCGTTCTGCCCAGACACTGAGGTCCAGCGCCAAGGGCCTTCTGGCAGTTCGCTTGCTGTGAGAAGCCAAGTTACAGGGAACCAGGCAGAGGGCCTTCTCGGTAGTGGCACCCGCCCTGTGGAATGCCCTCCCACCAGATGTCAAAAAGAAAAACAACTACCAGACTTTTAGAAGACATCTGAAGGCAGCCTTGTTTAGGGAAGCTGTTAATGTTTAATAGACTATTGTATTTTAATATTTTGTTGGAAGCCGCCCAGAATGGCTGGGGAAAACAGCCAGATGGGTGGGGTATAAATAATAAATTATTGTTATGATTATATCTTTGTGGGTAGGTAGATACTTGAGTTAGGACGTTAGGTAGAAATCCTGTTCTTAATGAAGGTCATACTCCACTTGAAAAAGCACATTCATAGTCTCTGAAAACTCATAGCTCCATCACTCATTGAAGGCGTAAGTTGTCTCTGTGGCTAACAACACCCGTGATGAACTTCACCCATTCCTGGACAGGGATATAATCAACCTGCCAAGTAGCAGCAGAACCACCCAACACACTGCCTCGTAAGAGCCAAACCAGGTGGATATTGTGGCCAATGTGATCAAAAGCAGCTGAAAGGACTGCATGAATGAGCAATATTGCCCTTCCCCTAGAATAAGTCATATTTTGAGGTGACCAATGTATTTTCTAAACCAACATCACTCTTGAAATCAGATTGAAATGGGGCCAGAAAATCGGTGTCATCCAAGAGTTCCTGCAATTGCTTAACCACCAATTGTTGAACACCATATTCCCCAAGAAGGAGCTACGTGTGACCAGTCCTTGGGGTCAAGGAATGAATATTAATAAGAGAAATCAAGCCAAAATCAGTTGCAAGAAGACTTTTGAGACAACCTGTGGCAAAACATTTCCTGGACTGTCTGCTGGTAAGGGAAACATATAAATGAATGCTCAGCCATATGAAGGAATAAACCCTCCCTGCAGATAGAAAACTAGATGCAAGGGGGAAGGACTCTGGACAACCTTTCCTTCCACCATGCCCCCCCCCCATTTGGTAAGATTCCCCCCCATGCGGCAGTATGTGGTATAATCCAGAAAGACTTTCTATTTGAGCAGCTCTTGTTGGGAGAGTCAGTGGAATTTCGGCTAGTTGTGATTTATGTTTTGCTGGATTATGCCCAAAATCTTCAGTTCCCAGAAGCACTGGTTTGGGCGCAAAAAGAAAAGGCTAATACATCATATCAGTCATGAGCTAAGCATGGTCATACCTGAAGTCAGCCAGACAAAATGATTATGTTCCAAACATAGCTTGTCACCTGTGAATAAGCGTTTCTCCAAGCGCTTTCTCCACCTCCTCTCCCACACTGATCTTGCGCAGTGAAATCTTCAACATGCCCTCTGGTATCAATGTGGCAGCTTTGAAAGCTGAGCAAACATCAAAAAAATTGACATTTACATTCTGCTTGATGAAGAGTGCCATGTAGCTCCAGAGGTCTTGGGCTGGAGTCCTGCTGAGCGGGGTTTGCTGTGGGGTCTTGTTGCTGTTATTGATACTACTTTATTATTATTATTATTATTATTAGCTATTCTTAGGATTTATGTGCTGGGATGTGCTGGGTAGCGCTGTGGATTAAACCACAGAGCCTAGGGCTTGCCGATCAGAAGGTCGGTGGTTTGAATCCCCACGACGGGGTGAGCTCCCATTGCTCGGTCCCTGATCCTGCCCACCTAGCAGTTCGAGAGCACGTCAAAGTGCAAGTAGATAAATAGGTACCGCTCTGGCGGGAAGGTAAACAGCTGCTCTGGTTTGCCAGAAGCGGCTTAGTGATGCTGGCCACATGACCCGGAAGCTGCACGCCGGCTCCCTCGGCCAATAAAGCGAGATGAGCGCCGCAACCCCAGAGTCGGCCACGACTGGACCTCATGGTCAGGGGTCCCTTTTAGTCAATTTTGTGTACTTTTTGAAGTGTTTTGCTTATTGTTTATGGTTACTTTTGTAATTATGGGGGTTTTTTTCATGCTGAAAGCTGCTTTAAACATGGTTTTAACCAGTGCTTTTCTTCTAGAAAAAAACCTGTGCTGGTACAACAACTGTGAAGCTGTTACAGGAAGTGCCAGATTTTTAACCAGTGTTTTTCTTCTACGCAAAAAAGATGCTGGTGTTGCGTACTGTTGAGCAGCCCCAGACCCCCCCCCCCCCCGGTTTTAACTACGGACAAGTGGCATACAAATAAAATAGTGATAACATTTTATCGGATTCTGGGGTTGCAGCGCTCATGTCGCTTTACTGGCCGGGTCATGTGGCCAGCATGACTGAGCCGCTTCTGGCAAACCAGAGCAGCGCACAGAAACGCCATTTACCCTCCTGCCGGAGTGATACCTATTTATCTACTTGCACTTCAACTCTCCTATTACTATCATCCATTAAAATAAAACAATTTAAAAACAAACAAAACCGAAAGGTGGAGCACACAAAAACATTTCAAGAAAGGAGAAAAATATGTTTCTAACCTCTCCCTCTATTCTCGAATGGATTTTATGTTTGAAAGTGCATTAAATAAATACTTTAATTAATTTTAACATGTGTTTGGCTTTTTAAAAATATGGCATAATAAGAATACTCCCCCCCCCCAATACTTGAGGGAACATCTACTAGGAATAATAATGATCAAATGTATTTGACTCTTTATCCCGGCTAGCCTAGGCGTCACTCACGACATTTTAAAGTTCGGTTCTACTGGCGAAGCGGAGGCGCGCGCCCGTGCGCGTGCCCGCGATGGGGGCGGGGCGGAGGCTCCCGTTGGGCCGCGGACGTCGCGGGGCGGAGCCATCGCCGCCCCTGGAGGACCGGAGGTGGGAAGGGTGGGCGAGAAGGAGCCGCTCTGCCCCTCGCCCCCTCAGCTCTGTGGTCAAGATGGCGGCGGCGGGGGTTGAGGGGGCGAGTCCGTGAGGGCCTGTCCGGAGCGCGGTGGCGAGGAGGAGGAGGCAGCCCTGTGGGGAAGCGGGCCTGGGCGGGCGCGGCTGGGGGAGCGTCGCAGGCGGCGGCATGTGAGCGCGAGGCGGCGGCCGAGGGCTGTGGCGGGGGCCCGAGACGGGCGGGGGACGGGGATGGGCCAGCAGGTGGGCCGCGTCGGGGAGCCGGGCGCCTCCTCCGCGCTCCAGCAGCCGGCGGCGGCGGCGGCGACGCAGCAGCAGCAGCAACAGCCGCCGCCTCTTTCCCAGCCCCAGCCGAGGGGGCTCCGGGGCAGCGCAGCCAGGCCCGCCGGCCGGAGGCGAGAGGTGGCGGCCCCGCGAGGGGCCGAGAGCGGCTTCAATATCTTCACCCAGCACGGTAAGGTGGGAACGGAGCGGGGGGGGGGTGAGAGACCGGGGGCGAGGAGGCTGCCGCAGATGCTGGGAGCGGGTGGGTGTGGCGCTGGGGGGGGGGGGCGGCGAGCGAAGCCTCCTCCTCCTCTTTTCCGGGGGGACGACGACAGGCAGGCACACCCGCCCCCGCTCAAAAACACACAACAGGAAGAATTGCTCTCTTGCATCAGACAAAGGTCTTCCTGGTCCAGCATGTTGTTCCCAGCAGTGGCCTGTTAGATGCCTGGAGGGGAGGGACCGGCCAAGCAGGAAGGCAGCAGCCCTTCCCTGTTGTATGCACCCCCCCCCCAAAGCACCTTGTCCTTGACAGGTATACTGCTCTGAACCAAGATTGTGGCTCCAGTTGCAGGGCAGATTGGTAGGTCACCTCTGCGGACCTAGCTCCTGCTTGACTTTAGGGTCTCTTGAGCTTGTGAGCGGTCCCCCCATGGCTGCAAACCGACCTGGCGAAAGCTTATTCCCACAGTAAATGTCTTCTAGGTGTTCTTTTTGTTTTTGCTGCAGCGCACAACAAGGCTGCCTCTCTGGAATACATAGCAGTTTTTGTTATTCCCCTGGAATATCTGTATATATGGTCGGCTTTCATGTTTACTACACACTTGAGTGAGTTGGTTGTTTAAGGGCATCTAAATGTTCTGGTGCTACAGATGTAGGTCAAAGGCGTGCATCCCTTTAGAATGGCCTGTGTTACTAATGTTGCTATAGTTGTGAGATATGTTTTAGAAATTGCAACAAAATGCTTTGGTTTATCTGCAATTGGGCTGTTTTCCACAGCAGGCTTTAGATCCTCCCGTTTTGATTTTGTGTGTGCGTGCTTTCTGCCAACATCTGTTTGTCTATTGATATATCTTCGGGTTCACCTTCACCCTTGCTCTGGCAATTGCTGCCTTTTCTTTTCCCATCTCCTGATTGTCGTGATAAAGTTAATTCTGGTAAGGATGAACCTCATCCTAAGGTGCCTGTCACAAATTGTGGCAACTGAGATATGCATTGCATTGCTTAGAAGGTGCCAAAGATGTTACATTATTTCAGAACCTTATGGTCACTGTTTATCAGGGTTCCTTTCTACATTCTTTGTGACATTGTGATGGACAGCTCTGCTCTTAGGGTAACAGTCTGCTCTGTGATGACCTTTACCAGCAGAGATGAGGGCAGACGAGAACTGTTTGTGTCCTCTCTTGAGGAAGAAGTCAGCATCTGTAGCTGGGAGGCTGTGGGTATGTCTGAGAGAGATGTAATGCTATTAAGAAACACATTGCATATCAAGGTAAAAAAGCAGTATTGACTACTTATATTGTTATTGTTCTTTCATTATCTCCTGACAAACTTAATGTAGCACGGTAGCAACTTTGCAGTATAATGGGTGGTATTCGACTGAGTTTTACTCAGAATAGACACATTAAAATTAATGAGCATGTCAAAATTGGGTCCATTAATAGCAATGGGTTTACTCTGAGTAAAACTTAGTTACACACCACTCACGACAAGGTGCAGTTAGTCTAAAACAGAAAGCCTCTGAACCCCTCCTCAGGATGATTTCCAATTTATCTTAATTTCAGTAATTTGTAATACTACTTGTGATTTTTACCACATTTGACTATAATTTCTTTTAAGTTCAAGCGGTCTTTGTTGCAAATGGATTGATTGAGATCCATATGTATGATGCTTCATGAACTACTTTAGCTGGATGGCAAGTATCTGACCAAGGAGAGTTGTATTTGGTTATGTTTATAGTGATGTAGGCAAAATACAGCAGGTTCCCTAGCTTACAACTATGATTTTAAAAGTTTCTATGTTAAAAAATAAATAAATCCATGTGGAATTGACACCTGTGGACGTCTGTGCTTTACACATTATTCTGGGATATGCCCTAGAGAAACTGCTAAAGTTGTGTTGAGTGCTGGCCAGATCTGCTCAGCTCCACAACCATTCTCTTCTGCATGAAATGGAGTAGAATACAGTGGTACCTTGGGTTACAGACGCTTCAGGTTACAGACACTTCAGGTTTATAGACTCTGCTAACCCAGAAATAGTACCTCAGGTTAAGAACTTTGCTTCAGGTTGAGAACAGAAATTATGATCCGGTGGCGCAGCAGAAGGCCCCATTAGCTAAAGTGGTCTTCAGGTTAAGAACAGTTTCAGGTCAAGAACGGACCTCCAGAACGAATTAAGTTCTTAACCCAAGGTACCACTGTACACCAAATGCTCTGATCGTGTGTGTGCATTTCAGGGGAAAGTGAGCATTGGTGGAAAAGTCGCTTTAATAAAACTTGCCCAAGGTTCATTGAGGAACCTTTTCATAATTTCTTGGGTTCTCTGGAACGCACTTTGAAAACTGCTAGGAAAGGAGGGTGTAGCTGGTACAGGATTTGCAGAGCCACTTCCATACGGCAGATATGCTTTGCGTGGAAGGGGAGTTGCCGGCGTAACAACTGCTGTATCGTATACCCACTTAATGCAGAGTGGGGGTGGGAAATGTACCACTTGGAAAATCCCCCAAACAGTGCAAAAATAGCCGGAGCACAAACAAGGCGCACCAGTTGGGGAAATGTGCCAGCAATGCCGCCTACACAAAGAGGGAGTGAATGAACTCGCAGTGATGAGGACATGTTCCGGAACACCTCCCTGTAACGCACACAATGATGCCACAGTGCCCCTGCTCCATGATCCCCAGTGGAACAGACAAAAATATCCCTGCTGCTCCCAGTCCCCAGGCATATGTACCAATAGGGATCTGAATCTTCTTGGGCTTCTCAAGCACTGTTTTTGAGCACTGAACGTAAAGAGAGGGCAGAAGAAGCCACACAACACAGCAACAGCATAGCTTCCTGGGCTACTCATCATGAGCCCATCATACCTTCTCACCTGCTGAGGCCAGCCAAATTCAGCTCTTCCTAGGATTTGGGGGGGAAAGATCCCTATCCAGCATGTGGCAAAATCATAGCCTTTATTCCACATTATCTAGGGTGCAATGGATTCTGAAAAGATATGTGTAGGGTCGTTAACCAGCAGGGCTTCTGTGTCTTGGGCCTTCAGACAACAGAGTAGCAGGCACCAGCTCTTTGTTGCCTGTTGCATACCTATCTGTCTTAAAGCTTTCCAAGGTGCTGGTTCCTGTCTAGAGTCAGTAAGGTTGTCATTGTCCATGGCAGAAGAGGCAGGAGGCATTCTGGTCACTGCTGATCATGGGGTGGGCCTTCCTTGTGATCTATGTGGAGCTGGGTGTGGCCTGTGGAGAGTAAAGGGAAGAGATTGAAAGGGTATCTAGTAATACCTGGAATAAATAGACCTTGAATCCAGTGTCCGAAACTCCCATGGTTCTAGGCGCATTTTGCGACAGGGAATTTCATTAGCACAAGCAGTTTCTGAGCTCTGGGAGCAGTACTGCGCCTAAGATTTCAGATTAAAATTGCAGAGTGGAAGGAAAGAGGGACCCTTTTCTGCCTCCCTACTTCTAGCTACTGTCTGAAGACTGGAAAAGAGACTAGACCATGTGAAAAATGAACACAATATTTTAGTTGCAATTCATTCAATTGTTGGTTTTTTTGTTATAAAAAAGCACGCCTAGACATTCTGTTGTTGCGCCCATAACCTAGGTTTAAGGTGCCATTTAGCGCCTAGCTTTCATATCTCAGTTTCTAACGCAGCTGGACCTGCATGCACAGGTACAAGAGAGAGTACCGTATTTTTTGCTCTATAAGACTCACTTTTTCCCTCCTAAAAAGTAAGGGGAAATGTGTGTGCGTCTTATGGAGCGGATGCAGGCTGCACAGCTATCCCAGAAGCCAGAACAGCAAGAGGGATTGCTGCTTTCACTGCGCAGCGATCCCTCTTGCTGTTCTGGCTTCTGAGATTCAGAATATTTTTTTTCTTGTTTTCCTCCTCCAAAAACTAGGTGCATCTTGTGGTCTGGTGCGTCTTATAGAGCGAAAAATACGGTAATAAGTGGTGCTTGGCCAGTGGTCATGCCTTAGCCATCCCCCCCACCCACTGCCCCACACACATGGGGGAAGTGGAGAGTGCACTGGCTTCTGAGTTGGTGGTTGCAATTGAACTCTGGCTGTTCAGAAACAACTGATATAGCTGTATACTATACACTGGGGGTGTGATTCCTGAATAGTGCCTCCAACACTGGCAGTAATATATACCAGAGCTGTGAACTTGCAAAGCAAAAGTACTCTAGAGTGTTTGACCAGCTACAGTTGGATTGGAGGTTTGGCCTTTGCCAACAGAGATCTTACCTGCATGTGGAGATGATTGTTTCTTCTGTGTGGGATACTCTTCTCCCTATTGTTTGAGGTAAAGTATTAAAACCATAAAGTAGGTGGAGGCAGACAGCTACAGCAGCTATATTTTGCATTGACTGTATCGCCTTTCCTTTCTTACTTAATTGTATGGGGTTCTCTGTCTGTGCACCCCAACTGTCAGATTAGAGGAAGGAGGGCTGTTGGGTGTTTGTGGCTGGAGTTCCAAGCCAAGGTGTCAGGACTCTTGGCAGCGAAGTGTTAGTAATGTAGTCAGGTTTTCACGTATGTTTTGGACATGCTCCACCTGCAAAGTCATGGTTTTTGCTTGTACTCACAAGAAAATGTTGTTCACATGGATTGTTGTACACAAGCTACATAGGGGTGTAGGCTGAGTACTGGGTAGGATGCTGTCCTTGAAACTTCAACCAGAGTTGTGGGTTCACTTCAGCGCTAGCCTCAAGGGTGAATAATACTGTCTTCATGGTCAAAGAGTAAGTTCTGAGTTTCATTTTCATTTTACATTTGTACCCTGCTTTTCCTTCTAGAAAGAAGTAACTGAAGTAACTGACAATTGCCGCAGCACAATCAGTGCAGAAATATCAAAATTACCAGTAGTATGAACACAACAAAACAGATAACTAAACTATAAAGCTGCCTAATACTGTGCCAAAGTCATATTGATAAATCAGCCAGTAAGTTCCAAAGGAGCCTGTCAATG